CAACATAAAATAATTAGGATGGGTCAGCTGAATGTGTTTGTGTTATTGTTTTTTATTCATGTTGGTTCAGGCCTATCTTATTTTAAAATGTTATTAATGTATTCTACTAGGTGTGGACTAACGTGACTTACTCAGTTGTTTTAACTTCTTTACTCTGGTTGCGTCCGACTCCTTTTAGTCGTGTTGGTCCAACTTATTTTAACGTGGTAAAAAATGCATGCCAAAAAAGCCATCATTTAAAGCTAAACTCAAATAACCTTTTCTTTAAACCTTTCAAACAATGTATACTTTGAAACAAATAACTTAAACAGAAGTTTAATAAAATGTTTACAGCCTGGTTGGAGTCAAAGATAAAATATCACAGACCCAACGTGATCATGTTGCAACAGATCTGTATTTGCCAAGTTATAAACAAAGAAGCTTAACAGGAAATACAACACAGAGTTTCCTCCTTTTAAGTGACAGCAGATTGGACATTTGTGCTATATGTAAAATAAAACCAAGACAATTTAAGAGATTCAGTAGATCACAGAGTACTCCATAAAAAAGAAAGATGTTTTTTGTAATTGGTCCAGATAATTTTACAGACAACGCTTGAACATATCACACTAGTGGGAACAAAGGGGAGACCTCATCTAGTCCATCTGATCAAGCCTGATGTGATGAGAAAAAGATCATACCTTGTATTGCATCATCAGTTTTTCTGGTTCTTCGTTCACGTAGACAGAAAAACTCTAAGGATGTAAATAAGGAAGAACAGAAACAGCATTAGGAGCATTATCTTAACCAGCCATCACAGTGAGTGTCACACATCTGATACATCTTCTAACTAGCTTCACAATGAGTGATCATTAAAGCCCTCTCTCATACACACTTACACAATAAAAGGTATAAAAACAAAATATTAAAAGGAAGAGAGAAATCTTTCCATCAGATGGAGTTCACTGAAAGAAGGATGGATGTTCAGGTTTTGCTGCGTTCCTCAAGCAGGTTTTTTAACAAGAGACCGGTGTGTCTCAAACAACGAAATTAATAATAGTTGAACTTGAGCCTTCTCTTGGTGGTTAATATATTTACTTTGACGTTACCCTCAAACAAAACCACAAAAATGATGCCTTAACTATCCCTTAAATCTAAGAGAAGGCTCTCTCCATCAGGTAAAAATCTCTTCTTTGCCCTCCCCCATCAGGAGCCTTTCCCCCCGATTCTCTGTAAGTACGGATGAAGGTCGTTTATAGGACAGGATTTATCAAACAGGGTTCATCCAAAGAGATACCTTTCATCAGAGTTCCTGTTCACTACCTTACAGGGACCATGTTTCCTGTTTACTACCTTACAGGACCATGTTCTGTTTACTAACCTTATAGGGACCATGTTCCTGTTTACCTACCTTACAGGGACCATGTTCCTGTTTACTAACCTTACAAGGACCATGTTCCTGTTTACTAACCTTACAGGGACCATGTTCCTGTTTACTAACCTTACAAGGACCATGTTCCTGTTTACCTACCTTACAGGGACCATGTTCCTGTTTACTAACCTTACAAGGACCATGTTCCTGTTTACTAACCTTACAGGGACCATGTTCCTGTTTACTAACCTTACAAGGACCATGTTCCTGTTTACTAACCTTACAGGGACCATGTTCCTGTTTACTAACCTTACAAGGACCATGTTCCTGTTTACCTACCTTACAGGGACCATGTTCCTGTTTACTAACCTTACAAGGACCATGTTCCTGTTTACTAACCTTATAGGGACCATGTTCCTGTTTACTAACCTTACAGGGACCGTGTTCCTGTTTACTAACCTTATAGGGACCATGTTCCTGTTTACTAACCTTATAGGGACCGTGTTCCTGTTTACTAACCTTACAGGGACCATGTTCCTGTTCACCTACCTTACAGGGACCATGTTCTTTTTTACTGCTCGAGAATAATGGGACAGGTAAACAACATAATTCTATTCAGATTTTATTTTTAAAGTGTTTATCCCAAGAAAAGGGTGTCTCCCTCTACTTTTCCTCTACTCCCATTATGAGCCTGGTTTTCCATGTTTTTCTAGTTCCTTTCTCCATCAAGGATCTTCTCAGACAGGGTTTATGTAAGTTTATGTCCCCATAAATCGTCTATACCTCTTGGGGACTCTCCACTTGTCCCTATCTCCTTTCATTGGGATTTCTTTTAGCCAGTATGACCCAAAATGCACCAACCATTTCCTAACATTATGTGGACCATGGCTCACTACTCCCATTATCCTTTCTTGGGTCTTCTCAGTAGGAGTTTATTTCCCCAGAGAAAGCGCTCTCCCTTGTGGGCAGACTATCTGCACATCCCATCTACCTATTATTTACCCTTTTTAATATTGTTTTTTGTTAATCAAGCATCTCATGTTGACCTTTGTTTGCATACCAACCTAACTTGGAGAGTTTATCTAGATTTGTTTCCCAGGGGAAGGATCTTTTCCATTGGGGATGGCCCTCATCTTGCCTACCTCTTTAATCCATACATGTTTTCTCTGTGCTTTTACACCACAGTTCACACCTTCACATTCAAACATGATGGTAGAGGCTGCTGTGTAAAGAGTCTATCAGAATTAACCACTCCATTCATACACATGCATACACTGTTGACGAAGCAGAGGGAGCAACTGGAGTTAAGTGTCTTGCCCGAGAACACATCGGACATGTGGCTGCAGGAGCTGGGGATCGAACCCCAGACCTTCAGTTTGAGACAACGACTCTACCAACTGATCCACTATATTGTACAATATTGACTGATTTCAGGAATAAAATCTTTATCCTGACAAATAATGGAAAGCTGAAACTTTGAGACACAAACAGTAGTGACGCAATGTGTTGCTGCAGCCACTAGAGGGCAGCAGCTTTAATCTTTACAGACAGGAGTACAGTCATGTTCACTGTATGAGCTGATAATATAGGAAACATCATAATAGTTTATCATATAACGATCATATGTATGACTTGTGGTTTGTCCTGAAAAAAGTTTTTTCATGACAGAACAAACGTGTGTAATGTTGCCAGTTTGTTAGTTTGATCAAACTTTGTTGATTTTGATCTTTTTTTTTAACTTTTAACTGATGTAAAGTGTCTGTAAGTACTTGAAAGCTCTTTATAAATGAAAAGAATTATCATTATTTGTTATTTAACAAGCCAATGAATTACTTAATGACCCAACAAATGAATATATACATTTTAGCTGCCGACACATTATCACTCAGGTGCGTCTCCTTTACTGAATAAATATACACAAACTGTGAGAACGTTGCCTCAAGGTGGGTCGACACTGTTGGTCTTCGGTTCATGTGAAGGGAAGGTTTTTTTATGTAACAATACAAAAGACAACAAAGTACAGAGTGTGAGAACAGTTCATCAGTGTGTGCAGCAGCAGATATGAAGCTGTGGTTATTAGGGCTTAGAAAAACAGTTTACAGCAAATCAACACTTCCTCCCCTGCAGCAGGCAGGCTGTGTGGGTTTCCTGCTCTGCTGCCTCTTCTCTGTTAGCGAAAGGTTTTCAGTTTAATCACACAGCGACAGTTACGACCATCGACTCTGGTTAAAGCATCATTCCAGGAACGTCAGTTTGATTTTAATGCTCAGAACTCTCAATATCAGCTTTCTGTCTAACTCTGTTTTACTATTTAACCTCAATGCAGGGAAAAAATTAATAATATATACTTGTATAAGTTAGACAAGAACAAGAAAACATGAAGCTATAATATATATGTTTATTTAAAGCTACTTATAACAAAGTCAAATTACTCATGACCAAAGACGCTGATCGTGTTTTTACATATTTATTGTGAAGCAAAATGAAATCCTTAAAAACACAGACTTTTATTTAAAAAGAAAAAGAAACACTTACAGCTCCTTTCATACACCAAAGACACATCTTTACTCTTTTATTTGATTTAGCTTTATATTTATGCTGGTATGTAACAGTATTTCTACACTTCTTGACAGTAGCAGTACTGCTGTTTATGTGGGTTTTATAAACAATAATGCACCAATAACACCAAGACAAATTCCTTCTATATTTGATACAATCTGATAGACGTTTGTGTTATATATGTAACATTAAGTGGGGTACACACAACAAGATAATCGGGCCGATTCCCCCCCTTCTGACCAAATTCAGCAAAAGCCTGATTATCTGACAGTTCCAAAGATTATCTCACCAGATGTTCCTGTGGTGTAAAGTGTGTGTTTTTAACCTCGGCGACCCGATTTTAAATTGTCAGACATCCTGTTGTGTTGGGAGAACACAGAGGACGGCCGATCATGGACTCCGTGAATTGTCACTTTAAACAGAATAGCCAATCGGGAAGCAAGCAGACTGAAGCCAGAAGCAAAACAAACATAACCATGGCGACGACAGCAAACACAAAGCATAAAGTTAGATGGCTGTCATAAATGGAGGAGCAACTTGTTGATTTGTTGCAACAACACAAGTGTTTACACAACGTGTCTGTAAAACAAAGCACAATCCAACTGACAAGGACAGGAGTACCAGCTAACAGCTAGCCACATTTAGCTTGAGCATCATGTTTGCTTTCTCTTAAATCGCGTTCGACCGTGGGAGATGACGAGTTCTGAGAGTGGAGACTGTTGTTGAATTAATCTGTGAGTGTGTGGTGTGCTGAGTCGGTCATCTCGTTGCTCTCCACACACACTATAAGAACTGAACTGGTAAATCTGTCATTACTTGTCGTCATGTTTGGCCTCTCAAATTAGCCAGGCCTTACTTGGCAATAAAAGTTATTTTGATTCAGTTGCTGATAAAAGCTGGAAATGGAATAAATTGATAAAGGTAGCCCACCCTGCAGTACGTTCATTTATGTACAAAAAACACAGTGTCATCAGCATAGAGCTTTACTTTTTCACAAACAAGCTTCTTTCATAAAAACTACAAAAACACTATGGCACATAACATCAGAAGTCAATCAGTCAGCACATGTTCAGTGGATGGACGGTTTGTCGTTTCTGAAGATCCTCAGCAGAGAGAGTCCACAGCAGTACACCAGACTCTTTAGTATCAGCACCGTGTACAGCAGCGTCAGCAGCTTCACCTTGCACTGAGACTGAAAGGACACTGACAGACAAAAAGAGATGGCTTAAGCTTTACAAATATAGAGCGTCTTTTCATCCAAGGATAATTGACCACATGAAAAAGATATTCTATCAGGCCCCACTACTTCAGTGTTTGAAATCTTATATTTTAAAATAACAGAATCAATTTCTTGTTTCCCAGCAGTTGAACATGTCATTAAACGCAACGCAGCTCACCTCCTTCTCCCGCGTCCTGTAAGGCTGGTTTGGCTGTAGGTGGCTGGGCTGCTGAGCTTGAAGCTGGATCTGTTTGGCACAAGGCAGGAGCAGGAAAAAAGATTAAGAACAGATAGCTGCTAAAATGTTTAGCTTTGATAAACGGTCGGCGTAAATAAAATAGAAACACAGAAGAATAAATTAAGTAACGAATGTTTGGTTCATTAAATTTGTCTTTGCTTTCAGGTTAATTTCCAACACCAAACCACACCAAGCTTTCTTTAGCCTCTTTCACACACACTCCAGAAAATATCTAGAGAATTTCAGGACAGTCTTCCCCTGAGTTGTTTGTTCAAACATGAACCTCACAGTGGGAGACTATCCCTGTCGGACCAGAGGGAGGGTGTCAGAGGCAGGACGTGTCGTAAATTTTTAATGATTGAGTAGTAACTAATGTCCTGCTTTATTAATTTAATTAAGTCTTAAGTCTTTAATTAAGTCTCTTAATGTTTTTTTTTTCATTGTCTTCATTCTGTAAATCACTTTGTAACCTTGTTTAGATAAGAGCGATATAAATAAAGTTATCATGATGGTGACAGTTGTTACTTTTCTTTATCAACGTTACATGCTGTATTCACGTCACCTCACTCGACTTCTTCAGAAATCTCTCTTGGAGGCTAGCAGGAGATAATCTGTGCCCCTAGCCGTGTGCGCTCACCAATGCGGCTCAACCCAAATGTTCCAGCCTGCACCTAAGACAGACTGGTCCTCACTTTTCTCCTCCAAACAGCTCCCCTTGGAAGCACCTATTTACATATCAAATCGGCCCTAAAACGGAACCCTGTGGTACACCAAGTAAATGTAAGTAGAGGGAGAAGAGTAATAATGTACGTTGACTGAGTTGGTTCTTTCTTAAAGGTAAGTATAAACAGATTTTGATCTTACTGTCAGTCGGCTCTCTCTCTGGAGGACTGGAGGTCGTAGGATTTGTGACCTCTGTCAAACAGAAGGAGTTAAAAATAAACGTCAGTCCTCTGCTCCATCGTCTCCACATGAAGCTGAATCACTGCTGAACGCAGACACCAACCCTTCATTACCTATTTCTTTTTGAGCAGTCACTGTGCCCCCCTGATGCTGCACTGAGCAGAGGTATTTATTCGGTATCTGAGGGATCGTCAAGATGGAGGCGCTGCACCCCGACTCCCTCAGCTCCTGCCGTTTCACATCAGCAGGGTTCACATCCTGCAGAGGCCCGCTCCTTTCTGTTTTTTCCAGGAGATCCGGACCAGAGGAGGAAACATGGCTGAGGCCACACACAGTAGAGAGCTCTTCTCCTCCAGCTGGGCTCTCGATGCTGCCGGGTACACGCTCACCACGGGCTGCACCACCTGTTTATCTTTGAAAGAGCAACAACACACACACAATTATTCTAAAATTCTATAACTTCCACTTTTAACTTCCAACCCTATTTCATAAAAAATTGGGATGTCGTGTAAAATGTAAATTAAAACAGAATGCAATGATTTTCAAAACACTAAAACCCCTCGTTCAATAGAAAATACCACAAAGATAACTGATACATTTTATTGTTTTTTGAAAATAGATACACCCATTTTTATCTTGACGCCAAAGTAGCATGTTTTAAAATAGCGGTCAAAAGAACATCCCAGAGGATCAAGAACCTGTTCATAAACAGGTCGGATATGTTGAGACAGTGTTATCATCTAAGATAAAAATATATTCTGTCGAACAAAGTTGGTTGGTCTTCTCTGGCACAGAGACGTGATAAACACATGTATGTCTTTAAATCACTTATTGGACGTACACCATCTTATATAACATCTCTGCTGAACTGGACCAAACTCACTCTACTAATCGTCTTTTGCTTCAAGTCCCGCGGGTCTTTTATTAACTTGGAAAAATCTGCGTTTAGCTTTTCTGCTCCAAAAATGTGGAAAAATACACAACACACTCTAAAGATGGAAACTTGTGTTTCTCTTGGACAAATATAGACAATGATCTCAAACCACTTTACCACACTGCGATTGTTTCTACTGAGAATCATTCCGACCCGTCTTTGTTGTTTAATTTGTGCTCTTTTTTTTGTATCACTACATCATTATAAATGAGGGAAGCCTCAATGATCTGATGATGAAATTATATTTTCCCAATCACGCTAATGAAATAATCAAATTAAATTAAATGTGTCTTTCTAGAAAATAAATTGTGCATAACAGCAAATATAAAATTGTCATCACCGTTGTGTTTACCACCCGGCATCTATTATTTAACACACTGTTTAGAATCTGTAGATATATGTGTGAGTAAAGATATAAACATGTGTGTCTATTAAACATAAATTTACATGCTGTGTAGGACATTAAACAGCCTAAGTGCTGTAATATTACATGTGATATATTTAAGGGTCTTATTTCGAAACCAGGTTCATTATTTAATCACATAAAAGCATATGCTCCATTAAATAAAAAGCTATTTTAACAAGATACATTTTTGTACTTCTTCATAATTGAATCCGTATTTCATGTTTGTTTGTGTTTTTGTCAAAAGCTGCTGCTGACTCACAGAGAGAATCCAAAACATATTTGTAATAATACAGTTACAGACCTTTCTTTAGAAACTCCTTTATCACACGGAGAAAGAAATAATGACTTCAGATGTGACATTTAAACTTCTTTCAGGTACTATGAGTTCTCTATAAAACATTAAAAAACACAACAGCATATAAGCCCTAAAGCAGCAGACTTTAATTTAAAAACAATGGATTAATAGATGTTTAATCTTACCTGTTACAAACAGTTTAGTTCCAGAGCCAAAGATGTACCACACAGTGAAACAGACTGATACAAAAACCCCGTCTGCTGCTGAATACAAGTTCCTGTATCAAGTTATGAGCCAGGATCATATTTCAGCTCCCTCGTGTGTTTCACATCAACATGTTTTTTTTTTATACTCCAGCAGTGTAATGTCTGTCATTCTACTACTTTAGTCCACATGAACTAATGGTGCATTCATATGGTGTCGGACACATCGGGAAAATAAGTTTCTGAGTTGGAAAAAGAACATGAACGCTTGCTCAAGTCGGAGCAACAACTCGGAAACTCGGGAAAGAATTAAGAGCCCGACATGACGTCAGAATTGTCATCACATGAGGGGCAAAAAATGTTTAGTTAATGTTAAGATACTTTTTATTTATTCACTTATTGTTCATCAATGTTGTAATCGTATATAACTAGTAATGGAGACATTCCTCACATCGTCTCTGTAGCATCCACAAAGTTTGTTGTTGTTACAACATTCAAATCTGAAAGCACGTTAACACACTGAAGTCAGGTATAAGCTAACAAAACAAAGGAACCCCTGGAGGCGATCATGTTGCTTGTCAACTTGCTGCCAACTCGCAACTGAAATGTTGTTTACGTTGTTGTTACGTCATACCAGTTTCAAGATCTGAGTTCCGAGGTAAATAGAACCACCATAAACCTGGATAAAACTGAGATAGGTATGAGTGGAAACCTCCAGTGTTGAAAAATGAAACCAATGTGGAAGTGCTAAATCCTGCAGTTTGTCCATTGTCCACTAGAGGCTGGCTCCAGGAACACTGGAAGTCACATACAGACCACAGCCAAAAAGAAGTTTTTACAGCAAAAACAAACACGTTTACAGCCTGGTACAAAAACCAAATATGTCTGATTATTAGTCATCACATTCACTGTACTTGAATTCTTATTATAAAGGCTCAGTTTTGATTTTATGAACGATACGTGTTATCCATATTTAAGTGCGTAGCTGACCTGATCGACAGGCGGGCACGATGTAACGGTTTGTCAAGAGTCTCAAACCCGTCTCAGCTCTCAGTCTGTCGTTAGGTTGACTGAAAGTTACGGTGAGTCAGCATTTCCAGCATGGCGGCTGCTGCCGATGAGCCTCCGGAGTCCCCTGCAAGAACAATAGCAGACGTCACTCAGGCTTCTTCCATTAATATTTACAGTCAATGGATAGTGTAACAGTTGTACTGTTATACTGTTGTGACCCTCGAGTGTTGCCATACTCAGTGTAAGTCTCGTGAGACTTGGTAAGAATAAACAGGACTTAGAATATTATTGTTATGATGGCCTGAGTATGTTCGTCTGGCACGCTAACGTTCATGTGAATAAAGTTACGTTGGGAACTCATTATGACTCAGTGTCAATAAAACTACAGATAGGAACCGGTGTTACAGTTTAAAGAGTTAGCAGAATCCGTGTGTGGTTGTCATAGTTACAACAGATGTTGAAGACAGAAAGTCTCCTTATCGATGCCTTCTTGTTTAGTTTTTCGTCATAGATATATCTAATGAGTTTTTTGATGTTTGTATCTTTGCTCTGCTCAATTCAGCGTCATATTGCCTCTATCACTCTCTCTACCCTCTCTCTGCTAAACCACAAACTTTTTGCGTACAGGTTACCCCTAGCTTCAGTCCGGCTGAGGGGTCTGGAGGAAAGCTAATGACACAGTTGACCTGACCGATTGGAGAACTAGGTGGGACGTTCTGGAGCAGTGCTTAACTGGTTTAAGTCTTACTTTCAAAGACTGGGACTACTTGTGAACACAAAAATTACATGTGGAGTTCCCCAAGGCTCCATCCTGGGGCCTCTTCTGTTTAACATGTACATGCTCCTCTTGTCAACAGGCAGCCATGACCCCTAAATCCTTAGATTTTTGAAGCAAACTAACAAAAACTGATTCGTGAAATCAAGAGATATAGCTAGATGGGAAATTCTACCTCTGACTCTGATATGGAGAATATAAACTGTAGAATGAAAATCCTACCATTTGTGTTCCAGTCGTTGCCTATAAGGGTTCCTAGCTAAATATTAAAAACACTGGACAAAATCATGTAAAAATGTCTGTGGCAAAATAAAAAAGCTAGAATTAAGTATACTTTCTTCTTTGCTCGAAGGAGAAAGGAGGGTTACATTTACCAAACTTATTAAAGTACCACTGGGCAGCACAACTAAGGGCTATTATTATGTGGATAACCAGGCCCGGAGTGGCTAATCGGGAGAACCGGGACAATTCCCGGTGGGCCGGGCTGCCTCGTACCGCGACAGTTTATAGATCAGACAGACTGTAGTCTTGCTCAAGTACGTTTCACTACAGACCAGTTTCTGAAAGTGTGGCGCGCGTGTGCGCCTGAAAAACATGTAGAGCGCAGTGTTTCCCACTTGGGCCGGCTGTCAAGGTATATTAGCTTCCGCAAAACCCCTTTTCTCAAAAGCCTCTCTCCCTCATTTTGTCAAAAACGTGCATTAAAAGATAAAGGTAGGTTCGCACGTAGAGGGAGAGAGAGAGCTTACGGGTGAGCGAAGAGTCGGGAACGTGCCATTACGCATAGGCCTTCAAGTGGACGGACAAGAAACAAAAAGTTAAATGCTAACACTTTATAATAACCATCATCTATAAAGGGTAAATAAGGGTAAATAGATAGAAAATTAACCATTAGTTAATAGTTATTTACTGTTAACAAACAATGAAAATAGTTAATAACTTTAATATTTGTAATGCTATAATTTATTTTATGTTAACAGTTTATTGATGCACACATTATAACATTTCATACAATTTATGAAGTGTTTATAATGATGACCAATGATTTATAAACCTTTAAGAGATGGTTTATAAAACATCTATAAACATTATAGA